GTCATAGGTTTATTTTCCAAATATTAGCAGGCCCGGCTTGGGCACTTAATTCCTGATTTGATTTGGAGCAACAACAACAACCACAAAAGCATGGAATGAGAAAACCACTGTTAGTCATGTAGATGGGCCATCAAGTTGGAAGTCAAAGCCCAACTACCTGACTGAACCACCTCCATATTTTCTCTTCAGAAACGAGAATGGTAGCAGGGACACATTGAGTTATATTCAGACCCCACAACAATGAGAAGGACAACTTACTTGGCCAATGAAAGGGGAAGAAAGAAACGGTATGGTTTATATCATGTTCTTAAATATGCTTGCAAACAACACCCGCCTACTCTAAAGATCAGGGACAGGATTTCTGACCAAGCCTCAAGACTAATATTGTATGTGTACATTCTTGGGGGCTGAAAAACGAGCCGCACTGCAAACTCTGTGTGTGTGCACGCACACGCGCGCACGCGCACACACACACACACACACGCATCAAAAAGGACTGTGTGCCAGGCAGACATGAGTTCCAAACCTTGCTCCATGACCGGATGGCTACCTGCAGAGCTAGCTTAGTGACCACTCTGAATTCCAGGTTCTTCGTCTCTGTAGTGAGGACGGTAACCCTGGCATTTCAGGAGGGTTAAGAAATACACTAAAGATAAAGACCCATCACACACTGTCGTCTACTGTGTTACAGACCTGTCCACCCACGCCCTATTATTCAAGCCAGTATTGTGCAAAAAGAGCAGCCACAGGAGAGGCAGGGCAAAGGGACATGATCAATCACCCAAATTCCAGCCCCAGACCTAAAGCACCCAGAGGGTACCTGGAGAAACACTTGGATGCACAAACAACAGCACTGACACCCTGAGACCCAAAACCGCAGTACTAATTATAGAAACCACAGTGACAGGCGTAACTCTGCTAAATGCAGCCTGAAGGGCCAAGCAGAAGTCACGGCGGAAAACTTGTTTTGGAATAGCAAATAAAGGCGCCCTTCTGAACTCACTGGCGTGGATTCTGTTTCCCTCGGCTGTACAACGAAGGCCCTGGAGAAGATGGGAAGTTCCAATCCCATCATGGACTAAATATCACTGTTACTGTCTTAACCTGTTCCTTTACTCTACTCTACGGAAAATCCCGCCAGCATCATGCATTGTACAACAATAAGAAGGCTGGCTGTTTTAAAACATACACACCATGTCTTACATAGTTCCTTCCCCCCTCCCGCCACCTTTAAGGGGGATCCACTTTGCTTTCCCCCTTTTCATGCACTAACCAGCAAACTCACAAGTGATACTGGAGGAAATGAATTCAGGATGCTGACCACGGGTAGTTTCTCCAGAGTGCACAACTACCAGTTACAGTTGGTTGTGTTGTTGGTTTTCTTCCTCACTTACATTTACTAGAGGGATGACAGGGTGTCGGTATCATGGGGACTAGAGCTCGCAGCTCACTTCTATGAACAAGGCATGCTTTCATTCCTACGAAAATGATCAGCTATAGTAAGGGGGGCGGGGGAGGATGGGCAATCTTTCACGAATGCTGAACCTCTAAGTAAAACTAGAGTTATCAGAGGGCGGGGGGTGGGGAGGGGGGCAGTGGTACTCAACTTCTAAACTCTGGGAGGAAGTTCCTGGCCCTGATGAACTAGAACACATGGAACAGGTGTGGCCGGTGCCTGATGGGACCAGTTCTTGTTTCGATCATTTTAGCCACCCAACTTTAAAGCTGTCTTAAGAAGATGTCTCCTTGGGCACGTTTCTCTTTGGCACACAAACAACTCAAAGGTAATCAAAGAAGCCATACTTCTGTTCTATCAGGAAACGAAGCCCCTTCTCATCAATAAAATATTGACTGCTTAGGTTCTCTCTCTCTATGTCTTTCTCTCTCTCTCTCTCACTCGCTCAGTAACTGCCACCCTACTTTTTAATGAGGAGACTCTTCCAGACACCCAGCTATACGGAGCTTTGAGTTTGTCTGCAGTCCAGGCATGTCATGGACCTCCAACCCCTTTGTATTGAGTTATCATACGGAGTAAGGTGATTCCTGAAAGATCAGTCCAGAGCCCACCAGTCCTCCCTGTTTAAGGTCATGGACACCCTGAACCACCATGGCCTGAACTGTTTTAATGCTCTCTGCTGAACACCTGCAAACATCAAACAAAAACGTCTGGTCCTTTCCAGGGTTGACAAAAGCCTTTCATGTGAAAAATGCTCCCTGGGAATGTCAGGCTGAAGCTCAGGTTACATTCCATCCCCCCCACCACCACCCACCCCGCAGCCTCCTTCTTTCTTAAGGTGGTAGGAAAAGCTATGTTTGTGAAATGAAAGATTAAAGGCAAGAGAGCCACACTTTATGTTCATTCTCACATTGCAAATCACGATGGAGCATCCTGTATTGGTGGGAGAGAAAGCTAGTGGGAATTTTAAGCATGAAATATTATGATGCCTCCTTTTAGGGTGGGTGTGGTGGGGGCGAGAAAAGAGCTAATGTTCCAAATAGGGCTGTTGTGCTCAAAAGTTTTATTTTCTTTTACTTGCCTGCAAGTTTCAAACCTGCCCAGGAAAGTCACATCTGAGCCCACACCAAGGGCAATAGGCATCGAGTTGAATATTCCAAAAATGATTTCTGTGTCCATGGTTTCTGAATTCATCCTTTTAGTTAAAGGATGAGGTGGGACTGTCCTGATCTTTGGGAAATTGCCTTATGCTTTGTTACTGAGTGGAAACGCAAGCCATGCTCTTAACAAATAGCCCTGTGTTCAAGTATGTCTTGGAAAAATAGGCAACAATAATTCTCACATCTGTGCCCCCACATGACACTCAATACACACCCTACATTTTCAATCCAACAACCAAAATGAAATAACCATTACAATTTTTGTCCCTGAGAAGCATGTAAATCTCAAAGCCATACTTCAGAGTTCAATACCTTCAAAACTATCACTGTATATTCAGTAGGAATATCTAAACGTGTCTCACTAAAGAACAGGTCTGTCCCTAAGTTTAAGTATACAGGAACATATATAACGATTATAGTAATCATATAAGGCTCAATATATAGGCCTGACCAGAATGCATTAATGCATATTCATACTTAGCCTATACTGCACAATATAAAATAGGTAAGCACTTAATCATTATAGGAAGAACTTTAAAATGTGAACATTAAAAAAAATAAAAAGAGATACAATTAGTTTTTAAAATGTATCACAATTCCAAGCATCTAAAGTACTTCAACTTATTAAACCTTATCTAAACTTACATAGATCAAATGAGTCTATTTTCATAACAGTACCAAAGAGTGGTTTGCACTGACTCTGAAAGTAGTTTAGCTCTGAATAATCTAGTTTTCAATTTCAACTGAATGCACATTTCTTAAGTCATAAAAATGATGGTCAGAGATAGACATAGTTTCTGTTTTGACAATGTTTAACATGGAAAAAATTACTTAACCTACAGGACACATATTCATCTTCACTTCAGACATGCAGAAGAATATTTTCAGACATACAGAATGAATCTTAAAAGTTAGGTAAAGAGTCTGTGACAGACAGTTCACAGATGTAATATTAACACAAATATTTCTTTTCTTTTTGGTCTCTAAACAGATAACTTAAATATGCCCAGGGTTATATAACACAAATATATGACCATAAACAGTGCTTTCAATTAAAAGCAAAAGACCAAAAGAAAAGATCAGACATAAGAGGCATCTGATATTTTACAAATCAAGTTGGAAAGACAAAGATTCCCTAAGAGTTATGAATGCCAGAAGAGAAAGAAATAGCTGATGTAGAAAAGAGCCAGGTTAGAAAATCAGTAGTTGTATTAAAAATATATATACTGAGTACACAACATACATAGGGGACCAGATTCCTCTCACTGCTGTACCATCAAATGAAGATGAAGGGGTGAGAAGTGATGCTCAGCAGCTACGAGAGAATTCCACTGGCGTCTCAGCTGGCATCCCACAGCTAAAAGATGTCAACATTTACCAGGCTGACTTAAGACCAGTCCTCTCTGCCTAGTGTACTGTTAGGTGCCAGTGCCAGAACGCCTAAAATATTGCATCTGGATAAGAAGCATCTATGAATGCAATCGTTGGTCCCAAAGCAGAGCAGAAATCTAGGATTTCGTCACACAAAAAATTCACTGGACACAAATAATGATCATAACCCATTTCAGACGCAGGTCTGATTTTCGGTTTTCACTTTTAATAGGAACAACACCCAGACACTCGGATAGACCCCATTAAAACTGCTCCTTAGATGTCAGAGCGGCCTGGTACACAGGGATTCCTTTGTGACTAGCCATCAAGATCCCTTTCAAGCCTGAACCAAAGAGGTCTGGAAAAGCCTTACCCAATTCACAACTATTAAAAGTCTGGCCTAGAAAATTTTAAAAATCGGAAAACATACTGCTTAAGTAAATGATGAGGAAAAAGACAACAATGAAAGTGTTGAAAGGGGGCCTTTTAAAATAGAAATGAATTCCTATTTAGTAAGCGGTTCTCTGTTTACTGCTAGAGTTTACTATGCAGCATTCACCGATGAAATTAAGTGCTCGTCTCCGTGTAAGGGTTAATTGTGCAGCGTACCTAATCGCTGATATTATTTACACAGGATTGTCCCTTTGAACGAAAAGTTAGGACTCCCTCCCCTTATTTTTTATAGGGAGCATTCATTTATTCCCCAGGTGTTACCACTGGCCTCAAACTCCCTGTGTTTGATTACAACTCTATTAGAAAATTGCTTTTCAATTAAGTGATGGAACAGAGACAGGTTTCGTTATCCCTCCCCCGCCACCAAAAAAAAGGCTAAATTTTAATTTTGCAAAAAGATCACATTTTTTATGGTTTCCCACTGATGCATAATGAATTAACGACATCATTAGGCTAATATTTCAATGACTTTTGCAGTGTACTCCCAACAGAGCCAAAAATACAGAGAGCAAATGATCGGCTCAGAGCTTGAGCTACACCGAAGAAAAGAATCCACATACTTGAGCCAGTGAAATGTCCACTCGCCAGAGAAGTTGGTCCATTTTTCCCACTGCTCACAGGAGGTGAAAACATCTAGAAGAAACAAAGAAATATTACCGCTGGAAAAATAAATCAATAAATAAGACATCTATGCCTTCAGAGTGCCTCAGATCTTTCACACTCTTACCAAATAACTCAAGAGTTTATGCAAAGGATTTGTTTAGTAAAATCAATCACAGTCCGACTTACAACTAAAACAGGCACCACATTACCAATTACCCCCCTTCCCACGCTCCCCATTACCACGCCACTCTATTTTTCCATCAAATTCCTTAGATTGGCAGGCACTACATTGTGAACAAACAGAGCCCCCAGAACCCTATGGAGATTCAGATGGGAGGGAACAGCCTCTCTAAGGAACACTAGTTCTACAAAGGAGAAGAAAAAAGTTGTTTGTTTTCCATAGAAAACCTTGGCCGTAAACATGGCAATGTCCACTTCCATCCCGCATAGGATGTCCCCGTCATATGGGAACCCAAGTAAAAAGGAAAGTACCACCTGCACTAAATTCTCATTTCGTATCTAACATGAGAGCAATTTGAAGTCTCTCTCTCTCTTTCCCTCCTCTCTTCCTCTCTCTCACTCTCACTCTTTCTCTCACTCTCTCTTTCTCTCACTCACTCTTTCACTCCCTCTTCCTCCAGCATTTATTTCGACCCTAATTGGTTTCTCTCTTCGCCACGTCTAGCAGATAATGCGCACCTTCCCTGAGTCAAAGCCTGCAAAAAGCAAAGGAACGAATGGAGAAAGGGCAGCAAGCGGAGAGGGGGCTGCAAAGCTGCCTAGGGCTACGTTTCCTGGCAAAACTTCCGAAAGCCATTTCTCCAAAGGAAGGGCTAGGACAGTGGTAGTGGCAGCGGCGGCGGCAGCAGCAGAGGCGGCGGCGGCAGCGGCAGCAGCATAGAAAAGAGCCCCACGTAAAAGGCGGTTTAGATTTAACGTGTGTGCTTTGTGGATTCTTTTTATTTTGCTTTGCAAATGCATCTTACACCACACTGATCGGGCATTTAAAAACCGATCTGCAATTCCCCTGTCCAGGTTGGGGACTTGGTTTGAGGGGTGGGGGTGGGGATAGGGGTGGGGGGAGTAGAGGAATGGAGAAAGGACCCGGGCAGCCATAAACGCCACAAGTGTGTATATTCTGCTTTGTGCTGATCTCACGGCTAGGAAATTTCCCCCCAACAGTCCAAAGGGCTCTAACGAATGTATACCAGCATGTGCGAGCCTTCATAATCCCAGCAACGATGTGGCTGGGCGCTCGGGCCCTTCGAAGCCAACGCATCAGCAGTTTCAAACTTTGAAGAGACAACTGGGTCTCCTTAATTTCTATTTTCCATTTCCAAAAAATAACTAATACACAAAACGAGGAGGCGTGCACAAAGTATCAGTACCCTCCGTGTTCAGCTAGGGCCAAGTTTGTTTTGTGGGGGGGAGGGGAGGGGGGCTTGGAGCTTAAAGGGTGTCTGTTTTTCCTTTCCACAGAGGTGACATTCCATTATTTGGGGAGGAGGAAGGGCGAGGGCGTCAGTGGATAGGGAATTTAAGGCAAGTAATTGAGACTCGCGAAAGGACTGAATCTTCCATTACACCCCCAAAACCAAGTTAAAAACTTGGTCAAAAAAAAAAAAAAGACCTTCATATTTACCAAGGATTCAGCCAATCCAAAATTTATTCCTGTCCTTCAGATCATAACTGGATTCTAGCTAAAGAATTCGGTATTGGGGGTTTGGTTTGGTTTTTTTTTTTTTTTTTTTCACAGCTGTTGTTAGTTTCCACCGTTCTTTCTTACCGCACTGAAATCCAGTAAATCACTCAGCTCTTTGTCCGTCCCTAAGGCAGCCATTCGCTGTTGGTGATGCATTTTAGCAAAATCACACAAACCTAGAAACATGGAAATAACCGCAATCAGAAAATCCAGTCCCAGTCCTTGGAGGAAACACAATCGGATTTTTGGAGACTGGGGGCGTGGGGGTGGGGGCGGGTGGGATTAAGGTGGAAAGGAAGGAGGGATAGGAGGGGATAGAGTTGGTTTTTGTTTTGTTTTGTTTTTAAGATGGAATAGGCAGCAATAGCAACGACACCAAAAAAAAGACATTGTATTTCCAAAGAGACGATCAAAACTGGTAGCATCCACTATTAAAATCAAATCGGAGAAGGGGGGAGGGGGGTTGAATCTGCCGCTCTTCAGCGCATGATTTTATGCAACAGGAGGTAGAGCGAGAAATGAATGGATCACAGAGAAAAGAGAAACTACTCCGAACGCTCCGGTCTCAACTTTCCCCCCACCCTCCACCCCATCCCCCTCACATACACACACACACACACACACACGCACACGCACACATACACGCGCGCGCGCGCACACGCACACACACACCACCACCCCTCCGCATTGCAAAGTAGCTATAAAGAAATTAAAGATGAGCGTCTCTGGAGTGCAAACACAGCCAAAGGGGGAGGGGTGACAGGCAGGGGAGGGAGGGGTGTAGAGTGGAGGGCCGGATCCCGTGGCTGTCCAGTACCCTAATTTGTGAAAGAAAGGGTTGTAAAAATTAAAGTCAGGCCCTTGGCAAAGTGACCGGTCCCTCCA